ATTTGCCAATAATCTGACCATTAAATACTCTCACTGTCTCAACTCTTTACTAGTTTTCAACATCATTAATACATTTATTCAAAACTTATTTTCATAATAAGCCCTATTTTGAAGAAATTGAAGTGAAAAAAACTCATCAAAATGAGAAAGAGAAGTAATCCCGTCTAATATCAGAATGGATATAATAATTTACATGTGGGCAAAATGCAAAAAACTACCAGGATATCATTACCTCGTTAAAAGAACTCTCACTCTTTCCCTTCCTCTCAAACCCTGGAGAAAAAAGGTGAAGAATTGGAAAATCCTCACATGTCAATTAATACTACTGAGAAATTCTCTGAAAGCACAACTAAGCTAGAAAGCTTTCAAAAAATTGGAACCAAAAATTCAACCAAAATCTAGGGGCAGCTAGGTGGCTCAGCGGATAGAGCGCCGGCCCTGGAGTCAGGAGGACCTGAGTTCAAATTTGATCTCAGACTAGGTACTTGACACTTACGAGTTGCATGACCCTGGGCAAGTCACTTAACCCCAATTGTCTTGCCAAAAAAAAAAAAAATCTAAATTGGCTGATTCTTAAAAATGTATTAGCAAAACACCTGATTCACTTACATAAACACTCAATTGACTGCAAGTCAAATAAAAAGGAAAGGAAGTTACAGCAATGCTTCTGAGTAATTAGCTAACAAGATTAGTTTTGTCCTCCCTAACAGGGTTACTAATGTACCTGGGAAAAGAGCATTAAGAAAAATAAGAAGCTTGGAGCTTTTAAATACGTAGGCTATATCTCTCTGTATATATCCATGTCAACTATAATTAGAAGGAACATATTTACTATCTCTACAGAATATGTTTAAGAATTGCTAAGCAATTCTTTGTTTCAAGTAATAGTAAATACATACGTTCTATAATGCAAAATAATGTTAATAGCTCTCTTCTAAGGAAGTTAGTGTGTATCATTTTTGAGAACATAGAGAAACAGACAACTTTATAACCTCGGCATTGGGTACAGGAGAATATAAATGTAACGGATCATGTTATATAAATCTTATACTGTGCGCTTAATTTTCAAGGGTCCCTCCAAGCTTTATATGCAACCTATATGACTTAACAACATTATTTATAACTTATAATGATAATCCTGGCAACCTGAAATAAGAGAGAATATGGTAGAATGGAAAGTTCATTAGACATAGAGTCTAGAAAGAACTAAGCTTGAATCTCACCCACTGGTATTTACATATGCCCACAAGCAAGTTACCAAGTCTCTAAGAAATAGTTTCTTAATCTGTGAAATGATGATAAGAGTACCCAGTGTACCTAACTCTACAAGTTAATTTAAGGATCAAATGAGCTAATGTTTATAAAAGATATTTATGAAGCCTTTTGTAAATGTCAATTAGCATCATTAACTTAATTTCTATACTAAAATGATATGGTCTCTGCTTAACATATCTGTTTATATGAACTAAAATCCTATTACCACTCAATTACTAAACATTAGTTATATAAAATAAAAAAGAGCCTTTTGAAGGCAGATGTGTTATATTTTACAATATTCTGTATATTTGTGATGGGGAAGGTCTAAGTACTTTTTTTTGTTGTTGTTTCAAAACAGTCAACTTAAGTATGACAAGTACAGTTATCTACCTGCTCCATGCTGTATAATCAGTGTATTACCAATGTGCACTTTAACACAACAGCAAAAGAATGTCTTTGATACCCTAACAGTCTCCATATATGGTGTGCATGACTAACAGCTGAGAGGAAGTAACGGCCTGCTAGAAATCTTTGAACAGTCCCGCTAAAAACTAGGTGCAGAGAATCCTCCCTGGGTGACAGTACAGCTGCATTTGCAAATGTGTGCAGGAACTTTGCCAGCTTTCTTCCCCTCCTCCCCTTTCTGGCCTGTTGGTTCAGTTTACTGACACTAAAAAATCTTCCTTTTCAGTTGTAGTGGTGTATTTTGCAGTCCTCCTCTAATCTTAAAAATAAAGAAACCTAAGACTTAGGTTCACAAAAGCAAAATATTTCAAATAACACGTGAGACAAAAGCTTGAGAAAAAAAAAAAAAGATGAACCAATCAAAGTATCACAGATCTGCAAAGATAACATTACTTGCAAAGGTCTTTTTTTTTGCTTTAAGACCACAAATCATGGGATCATAGATCACTGATTTAGAGCGAAAAGGGATTTTAGAGGCTACTTACTTCAAACTACTAATTTAACAGATGAAGAAAAAAAGGCTTAAAAAAATTTAGGTGTTTTAACAGGATTATATAGGCAAAGCATGTGAGGCAGAATTAGAACTCAGTATCTCTGACTCCAAATTCAAAGTTCTTTCCACTGTACCACACTACTGCTCCCTCTAGCTAATTAATAAATTTCTAAAACAAAATTTAAACCAGAAACACATCTTTAGATTTGTCTGTATCCTATCAGAAAGCTGGAAACTCTTTTTCAAAGACAAACAAGATTTTTAAAAGCACATTACATAGTCTTCACTGAGATTGCTTCTCCCACCTGTCTCAAGTCCCTCCTTTCAAGTAAATGTACACACCCGTGGATATTCAATAGTCATTTCCGAGAACCATTTAATGAACCACATTTAGTCACAGTCAACATCATTTAAAGCCTGTGAAAAGTTCTGAAGGATACAAAAAACATAAGCCTTCCCAGTATGGAGCTTACTATTTAACATAAAGACTTAATAACTATATTGATCAGTATATGAACAGACATGGTATAAGCAAAAGCTGTAGGCATAGAGATAAGAATGAAATATTTTAAAGAGGTGGAAGTAATTTGGACAAATCTTATCTGGGATCTCAATTTCTTCAAATTTGTAAAATCAAGCAGTTGAATAGATTACCTCTAAGGTGTTCTGCTTCTAATAACCATAATAATGACAATAATTATAATAATAATGATAACATTTTAGATTTATAGCAGTTAAAACTTTTCATATATCTATACACACATATATATGTACGTGTATGTGTGTGTGCACAATCTCATGTAATTCTCTAGTGAAGAAGGAAGAGTGGATATTCTATCAGTTTTTACAAATGAGGAAACTAAGGAAAGAGAAGTTAAATAACTTGCCCAAAATTATACAGCTGGTAAACTGAGTCCAAAACTAGAATTAAGGGCTTCTGAATCCTGTTTCAATTTTTTCGGTTTGTTTTTTTTTGTTTGTTTGTTTGTTTTTACTAAGAGTAACTGGTTAGAATGACTAGGTCTCAATAAGGTTAGCAGACTGGAGGAGGCAAGGCTTTAAGGGGAAGAATTTGCCTTGACAGGGAGGAAGGAATACATTCCATGAGCGAATCACATGATCAGTGGCTTATAAGTAGTAGTAGGAAAAGTGTATAGGCAGGATGATATGCCCCAAACTCTGGAGTAGGCTACCACGGGTCCAGGGAGATATTACTAGAGCTAAGTAATTTACTCCTAATGCCCGTGATCAATAATTCTGACTCAATTTATAAAGAAACTTGAAGTCATTAAAGGATTTTCTGGTAAAATATTGTGCTTTACATACTCTTCCTGTCTAGATAGACTTAAGAGTGTCCCTAAGTGTCTTCTTCAAAAGGGTGGAAGGAGGGGTGAACCTGAAGAGCTTCAGAGTAAATCATTCCTATGACTTCTTGAAAATCTAACAGATTTGTCAATCCTTTTTCATTAGTCTTAAAACTATTTGGGGGGAAAAAAAGTACATCTGAACATATTTCACCTTTTTATTCCTGCCTCACACCTTCCTGTGCATCTTCTAACGGATCTCTAATGTGTCAAGGGCTTCTGAGTGTGGGTGTTCCCCAGAATCACAGTTAGCTGAGGAGTGCTGGGTAGAGTGATGAGGGGGGAAAACCCCTTTAAAATGATCCCAAGTGCCAACTTCTTAAGCAATAAGCAAATTTTAAATGCAGAATTTCACACCAAAGTAGAGAAGAAAAGGCCTAATTACAGATGAGCTGAAAGCTAGTCACATGAAGGTAAACTGTCAAGTAGTAGCAACACTTTCAAACTCAAGGCAAAATGAGTAAACTCTGCCTTCAAGAGATGTTTTTTTCATTCCCACTTTCCAAAATTGCCCAGTCCGCAAAAATGGTTTCATTCCCTGACACTGTTCATTCATTTTCATGCTCATCAACAGAACATAAGTTTCCACAAAAATATTGTAGAAACATGGACCGTAATTGGCAATGCCTAACATTTCACTACAAATGTCTAGCATGCCTGTGTTAACAAGATCGCCATGAGGCCTATTAGTCCCTAGATAATAAACAATTTCCAGTTATGTCTGATTATGTCTATAAAATATCTGTTCAGATACAAACCACATGGATAGCATGTACTAAGATTCTATAAGAAGTCTTCATATCTAAGAAAAAAATAAAGTCCTTCAGTGAACATAAAAAAACATAAAAATTCTACTCAGATCATTATAGCCAAACATTTTGTTTTAGACCAAGGCATGTGTCACATCTTTTCTTCTCAAGGTCATGGGTGTTAAATATGCCTTGCTGAATTAAGTTTAAGTCTAATTAAAATAAAAAATCATGTGATTCAACTAAGCTATGGCCTATTTTTTTCTCCTCAAAAGCAAAAGGAATCATGAGAATCATGTGACTTTTTTTTTTTTAATCCCAGGGCTGTATTCAAAGTTGTTTTACACTAGAGCTAAAGGCAAAATCCTCATAGTGGCATTTATTTACTTTAGAATAGCTCTATTACTCATGCTATTGAATATGGGATGACAACAACCACAAGAATTTGAACTCACTATGGTATTAAACATGCCAACCATAAGTGGCTTAATTTGTCCATTTATTTCAAAAATAAATAAATCAATACTTCTTTAGGGAGAGGAAATGCTTATATATATATATATTAAACCTTTAGAATCTAATTCCACTGTAACCACAGCACATGTGTACATACAAGACTGATCATTTAAAGCAATAAAAAGACACTCAAAAAAATTGATTGAAAATACCCACCCCTAGCAGAAAGCTTTTTGGTGTTGATAATTTTGGCAGCATATTCTTGTCCTGTAGGGATTTTCATGCATCTTCTCACCACTGAGAATGCCCCCCTGAAAACCAATAATCAGCAAGGTATCAATATAACCAGACTCTGATACTCAAAAAACGGTCTAATAATTTGAGTGCTTTCAGTGATTTTAATGGTTTTCCAAATATCAATAGAAGCAGCCCCCAAAACAACCAATCCAATTGGCAACCTAGCCCTTTCTTAATTTCCCAGAATATAATGGTGATTAGAATTTAACAGGGAGAATACCATATCATTAGACAACAAAATAAAAGGGCTGCCAATTGTAACGGATCTTGTTTGCACAAGGAATTTGAACACATTCTACAATATCCGCTCACACAGTAGCACCAAATGCCCAGAGAAAACACTGCAAAGAGCTGGAATAAGAGGGAGCCAAAATCTGCTGCCCATTTATTTTGGTAGGGGAAAAATAATGAGTGTATCTCTAACTCTATAAATATGATAATTGTTCTCAGTGAAATATAAATATTGAGCATATTTGTGTGGGTTAATGAATCCTGGCATGATGATTTCTTTATGCATTGGTTTAAAAAAAAGGCTTTTAATTAAGCTGTCTCTTCTGACATTCTTCTTAGTATGTATGTATGTATGTGTGTGTGTATATATATATATACATACACATATATATATGCAGCACCACTCAGTGTAAGAGTATCATACTGAATAAATACACTTACACAATGAAATTTACATTTCCTTTTATTTGCCTTCATCAGCCACCAACAAACATATATGCACACACCCCTTCTCCAAGAAATAGATCAAGCTGTAGATATGAATGAGAATGGATTTTAATTGGGGGTGATGCTTTAACACTGTGGCTGAACCCCTAGGTTAGATTTCTTTATAATGAGTTCCCTCATTTAGATATTTCTCCCTCTTCCTTACAATTGTCAAATATTTTTTGTCACTGTATGTATGTGTGTATCTATATATAATCTTTAACACACGCATGCACACACAAAACAGGACTCTCCCCTTTCCCGAGCGTTTTTCCTCCATGCATATAATCGTCCTAGGAGAGACTGTCTATATCCTGGGAAGAATGGTGTGACATTAATCAATCCCAGAAAGTTTTTTCCCCTAAAATAGCAGAAAGGTGTAAGGGATTAGTATACAGGTATGTATGTTACACTGGGCTGCTGCTTCCTTTGACAGAACTACTGGATGGAAAATAGACTGAACGCCAACTTGAACTTTCGGCATCAATAAATATGGCACCGTCTGTGTCAGTGAGGTTTTCATCCGTACGTGTATCACTGAGCAGACACGCCAGTAAACCCTGGAGGCATCTCTATTTACAGAAAACATGATCTATGTTGCATTTTACATGGGTTCTCATTTCCTCCCTTTCACAAGCATATACACTCTCCAAAGGATGACAGCTATAACTGCAAGGATCATAAATTCACTAAGGTTCACTTGCACAAATGGGAGTGGGGAAGAAAGGTGGGTGGGATTATCAGACTTGGCCACAGCCTGGTGGTCTTCCCTTTCTACTCCCCCGCCCTCATCCTAAGGATCAGTACCTTTGCCCAGCTGTCAAGCCAGCCTCTTCCGCCCGCCCCCCCTCCCCCTTTCTAAACTCCTACGACCCCCTAACGGTAAAGACCGCTGGGTCGGGGGTAACGCGACTCGCCCTCTGCAGGAAAGGGGACCCGCAGATGCCAGGCAAGGACGCTTACTTTCCAAGCTCCTCGAAAAGCTGATACTCGTCGGTGAACCTGGTGCAGGTTGTAGTTGAAGCCATCATAGGTCCGGGCTGGCTCCTGTCGAGGAGGAAGGAGGATGAGACGGGACGGGAGGTGCTGCTGCTTGTCTGGGACTGGCCCCCGTGTCGCTATCACCCCCGAGCCGTCTTCCTTCACTTTTCTTCTCCGAAACTGGCTGGATCGGGACTTTGGGGGGAGGGGGAGGGAAGGTAGGAAGGGTGTAATGGGAAAGAAAGGGTGCCGTGGGGTGCCCTCTCCACAATCGTACAATCCTTCTGCTCCCTCTTCCTTCTTTTTCTTCTCCGGCTCTGGACGCTCCACCCTCCCTCTCTCCCACCCCCACTCCCCAATTGGAGGAGGGGGGGAAAGTATTATAGAAGAGGTGCCAGGAATTGGGGCGGGGGGTGGAGAGAGAAAAAAACTCAGCCAGCCACGGGGCAGGAGGCGAGCAGTTGCGAAACGATATGAACTGGGGACAAGAGGGAATAAAGGCGGAGTGGAGGGAGTGCAAGGGTGGAGAGGGGGTGGAGTGGATGGGGAGGGGGCAGGGGAAGGAAGAGAAGCCCGAAGGAGAGAACTCCAGTCCAGTTGCAGCTGTCAGCAGCCTCAGTCTCTCCACTCCAGTGGGTGGGTGGGTGTGCGCGAAGGAGCGCCCGAGCAATGAGAAGCTCGGCTCTTCTGCCCGGCTTCCCCTCCCCTTCCCCGCCCCGCCAGTGACAGCCGCCGGGCAGCTGGGGCACCTATGCAGCTCTCTGGGAATGAAGAGACGAGGCACGGCTCCGAGCGCGCTGGGCACCCGGGGTGGGCAGTGGCAGGGCGAGCACAGTTCAGCTCAGGAAAAGCCTCAGCGTCTCTGCTGTCCCCCAGCCCCTCCTCGAGCTACTGCGGGGCCACCCCCAGGCTTTCCCCCCCCTCTTTTCTCTGTCCCACACCTCCCCCTAGCGACACAAGCCTCTCAGCACGCAATGTGTTTCTCCCTCTTTCTCTGTGTGTGTGTGTGTGTGCGCGCGCGCGTGCGTGCGTGCAGGGGAGGAGGGGTATGCCCAGGCAGAGCGTCTCTGCAAAAAGATTAGAGAAGACGGGGTCACACACACAATTTGAACTGGTCTGGGGAGGGGAGGAGGAGGGGAGGTACTCGGGAACAGGGTCTCTGCAAACAGGTCCGAGAAGACAAATCCACAGACAGACAGACAGACACCATGAGGTCCTAGGAAGGGAACAGGGCTCACAATCCCGGGAGGGGTGTGCACCGTTTGGCCCAGGCAGGAGGGAATGAATCCACAGACTGGCCAACGGCTTTAAAACGACCCTTCGCGGCCAGACGCGCGTGGAGGCCTTGCACAGTCCCCCTGCACCGAGCTCCCCGGGGACGCAGAGTGATTTGAGCCCCCCCACAGCGCTGCGCTCCGCTCGTTCTTCCCGTGCGCATTCGGAGTCTGACTATAGCACGGCCAATTTCCCGCAGATCTCGCCGGGGGTGGGGGGAACGGGCTCATCTACGTGCACTAGTGCTTGGGTGCGGACCCAGTTGGGAGCGTTTGCATCCCAGCTTTCCAGCTCGGGGCCAGCCGGAGGAGGCAGTGGGTTCAGAAGCCGCCCGGCCTGCAGAAGCGACCGTGGCCGCGGCAGCGGAGATGCCGCGCGGGGCTCGCTCCCACGCCCAGCTAGGAAGTTGTTCTCCCGCGTTCCGCGAGCCCTGGGGACGCCAGGCTCCAGGCTCCCTGGGCCACTCTTAAAAGTGCGGGTGCAGACACTGTGTCTCCACCTCCTCCGCTGCTTCCCACACCGAAGCTTTGGATTTGAGCGTGCATCAAGCAGACGTGTGAACAAAGAATTCACGCGCAACCACGCGCTCAGCCGCACCTTTCCCTTTCTCCCGGGTAACTCCCGGTCCTCTCGGGAAGGTTTGGCGCGGAACGAGCAGATTTCTCGCGAGATCAGTCTGTTTTTGTGGCAGAGGGGAGGGATGGGGTAGAGTGGGGAAGGTTGTCTGTCTATCACGGGACCGAATGGCGGCTGACGTCATTTGCATCACATGAACTTGTCCGGCCTGTTTCGATTTGCAAAGGAGAAAAAAGAGGGCGGTTATGTGTGCTTGTGTACTCAAGTCTGGAGAGATAGAAGCACTTGCATGTATTGTACAAATAAATATTTGATATGCATGTATTCAAATACGTGCCATGAGGCATCACCACATTCTGCCTTAGCATACATGCAAATAAAGACGTTGATGTATATGTATCAACTATTTAATTAATGGAAAACAATAATTAGCACAGTAGCTACAATTTAAGTCAAGTGGGTAACACATCAAACTGGACTAAATGATTTCTAGGTTTCCCTTCTCCATAGTAAGTGTGGCAATTGCAAATTCAAAGGGCAGGAGAACAAAACAAAAGGAAAGTGGTCATTTTGTAAACAATTCCCTTTTGTTACTTCGGTTCAGATTCAGGAAAAATTGTCAACAGCAATCACCCATATAACTCCATGCTGTGAATGTAACTGTAGACTATTCAATTATAAAATGTTATAGCTGTAAAGAGATCATTTGGTCCAAACTCATTTAGTAGACAGTGAGGCCAAGAGAGGTGTAATGTTTTACCCACAGAAACTTAGTTACCCAAACAAGAAAGTCCCAATCCATTGCTCTCTTACTTGTCAAAATGATGTCACAATAGTTGAAATAATATATTTTGCAAACCTTAGAGTGCTATAGAAATGCTATTGTTATCATCATCATTACTGAAACACATGTCTGACTATGTCATGTTCAAAAATCTTCAGGACTTCTTGATGAGTATAAATTTAATTAGTCCAGTATTAACAGACCTTCCTAAATCCAATGTATCTTTTCAGTCTCATTTCATATTATTCCCCTTCAAACACTGTTCAAGCTAGGCTGGATGACCCACCTTTCTTTAACTCTGCCCCTCTCTTTCCATTTGTAAGGTGATCATCCATACCTGGAGGGCAATCTCTCCTCATTCACTGCTCATTCAAATACTTCTCTTCCTTTGAGGAAGAGATACCCTTAGCAAAGTTGCCTGGCTCATACTAAGTTCTGATTGATTGATTGATTGACTAAGATAAAACTCAGATGCCACTCTGCTTCCATATCATAGTGTTTTTAACATCTTTATCTTTCTTAGATCACTATCCAGCTCTCCTCCTTGTCCCCACCATATTCAACTTTGTACTATATTTATCTCTGTACATGGTGTGTTTCCACTGCAATGCTATAAAGTTCTTGAGGGCAGGGACTGTGTTGTTTCCAGTTCTGCATTCCTAGTAATGAGCATAGTGCCTTACTAATAACTGGCACTGCTGAATAAACATTGTTTGAATTGATTTGCCTAACAATTTGGTGTTCCAACTCAGTATACCGTATTGCCATTAATTTTTCAAAATATAAAGGCTCCCACTTTAAACAAAAATTCCCATAACCATAAAATAGTTTGTGGTTTACATTCCCTGCTGAAAAATCAAATATAAGATCATTGTGCTAAAATGTAATGCTAAGAAATGAAAACATAATTAAAACTAAAGGAGATGGAGGGAATTAAGTCATTATTTAGGATGTGAAATGAAATCAGCCAATCATACAAATTAATTCAAGTAAAATATTTTAAATATTTTAATTTTTTAAAATGTAGCCTATTTGACTTCTCTATATATCACTTAATGAAACATTAATAAAAACAAAAAGCTTGAAATCAATAATTGAGAGAAATATTTTTAGATTCTTACAACTTGACCAAGAAATGTAACTTTTAAAAAGTGTACAATTTATGAAACCTACACAATTATATCATTTTTCTCAGCTCCTTAAACATCAGTAATTTTAAGAGATTATGAGGTTTGTATTGCAATATCAAAGATAAACAAGGTTTAATTATGCTATGCAAGGACAGTAGGAAAACATAAGCAATGATCATAACACATCAATCTAGGCCAGGGATGGGGCATCTTCAGCCTTGAAGCCACATGTGGCCCTCTAGGTCCTTGGGTGTGGCCTTTTGACTGAGTCCTAGTTTTACAGAACAAATCCTGTTACTAATGGGATTTGTTCTATGAAGTTTGGATTCAGTCAAAGGGCTGTACTTGAGGACCTAGAGAGCCACTTGTGTCCCCAAGGTCCCAGGTTCCCCACCCCTGATCTAGGCAAATCAGTTCTGTCCCTTAATCCATATTTTGGGATATTTCATTTTTGTCTTTTTATCCTTAGATCGCAGCAACGTTCCATGCATATAAAAGGCCCTTGATTAGTGCTTGCTGATTGCTTGATTCTGATGTTTAAATGAATCTTTGATCTCATTACTGAAGGTACTCCACACCAATAGTACAAATTGTAGCCTGTCCCTGCTGTCTCATCCTATGCAATTGTCTATATTCTCCCATGAATCATTCACGGATTATCTATCACCCTTGCTAAAAGCCTTTCTCTGGCTTCTTTACCATTCTATAGATTAAGATGTAATACTTAGACTGTGCATGTGTTTTACCTACTCGTTCCATGAGTGGTAGGTACATCTCCTTTGTCCATCATACCTGTCCTTGATAATGTTTTTGTACCCATTCTTTGACTAGGGCAATGCTTGGAACTTTGTCAGGTTCTAGAGCTTCTGTTCCATTGGTGTAGCATTCAAGGACCAATAAAACATCCAAGTAATACTTCTAGGGGAGCTCTTTGCTCTAGTCCAATTAAAAAAAAAAGATTCAGTCCACTAAACAAATATTGCAAATAACTTGCGAAGACATGTAAACTACAATAAAGAACCAAAGCAATTCTTAGTCCTACTTCAACTACAAAATGGAGGATGAAATAAGAAAAAAAATCTCATAAAATGAGATAGAGGAAAATGTCACCAAAGTGACATCTTACTTCAGTTCAGAAGTTTAATGATGTGGAATCACCACAAAATTTTTTTTTAAAAGGAGGGGTTCAGCCCCTGATTTCATCAGTGTGACATAGAAACTGCTTTCTCTGATGCATAGCCCATCTCTAACTTACAGTCTTAGAAAATTGCCTGGGGAGGATAGGAAGAGAGTAGATGTTTATTAAGAGCCTACTGTGTGCCAAGCCCTGTGCTAAACGCTTTACAAATATTATTTTATTTGTACCTCACAACAGCCCTGGGAGGCAGGGGATCTAACAACTCTCATTTTACAGTTAAGGAAACTGAAGCAGACAGAGATTAAACAACTTGCCCGTGGTCACACAGCTAGTAAGTGTCTAAGGCTAGAATTTGAACTCTAGTCTTCCTGACTCCAGCTCCAACACTCTGCTTTGCCACCTACCTGCCTAGGGATGCTGAGAGGATAAATGACTTGTTCGTGGTCACACAGACAATATATATCAGAGCTGGAATTTCATCTAGGCCTTCCTAACTCCAAGGCTTGTCCTCTAATCGCTATATCAGGCACTATCTCACCATTATTTAGGTCTACCTGAATAGTCAAAACAAAAGATGAAGTGTTTTATTGGTTGTCTGATCTGCTTGGCTCAGTAAGCACTCTGGTCAGGATCTTAATTAGTAGATCAAGAATTTAATTGAAATGGAATCTAAGCTGCCCAGTGATTCTTGGCTTCTTTAAACCAGGAGGGAGACACAGTAAAGGTTAGTATTCCCAGATTTACAAAA